TCCCCCCCCCCCCCATTGTTACTGGTTTCTTTTCGTTTTAAGGTTTGTTATAAAATTCTTGGAACATTCTTCTGTTTGGTCTTAGAAAGCATATGTTTACAAGCTGTGTTGTGTATCATAACTACACAAAATCTCAGGCTCATGTACCTGTACCATGGTTAAACTAGGGGTGCACATTTTGGATTCAGTTCAGCTATTTTCTTGTTTTCTTGTTTTTGTTTTTGGAAAAATTTGATAAAAACATCTCATTTGATAAATAAATACACCAAAATTTTAAAATATGCATGATTGGTGATGACATAAAAAGTCGAATATTTTTATGAGATTTTTTTTTTCTTTTTAGTAAAAATTATAGTATTTGATTTTTATATTCGATTTGAATATGATTTGAGTTCATTACGGATTTGGTTTTTATTGATAATATAAGGTGTTTTGTTTTTAAAATATTATAGATTAAGATTTTATGATGACTTTAAGATGTAGATTTTTTTTTGTATGAATTGAATAGTTAAATGTTCTTAATAAGATAATCCTTAAATTAATTTTAAAATAAAATTGAACAAATATGGGTCCATATAATAAAGTAATAAAGATATTTTATAATTATTGTATTTAAAATTAAAAATTTATTAAATTGAGAATCAAAACAAATGATTAGATCATCCATATAGAAACATACATAGAATTAATTAATATGACAAATATGATATTTTTAACACTAAATCATTTTTACATATTACCCAAAATTAATTCTCTGAAATGCAACAACTGAAAAAATATAAAGAAAGAAAGCACCAACCGTAATTTTCTTTTTCCGCATCGTTGGACTTCCATGGTCAACTCTCGTCGCAGATCGCTCTAGAGAAAGATGCATTTGAGCGAGAACGAAGGAATCGAAGGCAACGTCTTCGTGGTCACTGGAGGTTTGGGCTTCGTCGGCGCCGCCTTGTGCTTGGAGCTCATCCGCCGCGGCGCTCGCCATGTCCGCTCCTTCGACCTCCGCATCTCCTCTCCTTGGTCCCGTGAGCTCATTGACAATGGCGTTCGCTGCATCAGAGGTTCGGTTTCCGTAATTTCTCTTTGCAACCATCTTCTTTAGTGATTTTGTTCAGTTTTGATGCTTCCATTTTCTGACGAGTCCACTGATTCTGTCTCCACATTTTACCATTCCCCTTATTCCTCGTCTAATTAAATCTAGACCATGGAGTGTCGGTTCTATGAAGAGCCTGTACGGAGAAGCTTAGCATATGAATGCAAGTTCAAGCTTGTCGATTAGGTTAATAGCTGATCTGATCTATAATAGCTTTTGAATAGAATTCAACAGGTTACTGCGTGTGAATTCTGATTTTATGGAATTGAAACATGAACCATATGGTGCATTAGAAATCGGAGAGATGTTATTATCACGGGCTTTGGTTGTATAGCGGATTGAATACTTGAAATTGATAACAGGGGATGTGACCAAGAAAGAAGATGTGGACAAGGCGCTAAAAGGTGCAGACTGTGTTCTGCATCTTGCTTCCTTTGGAATGTCAGGGAAAGAGATGCTCCAGTTT